GCCCGAGTCTTTCTGAAACAGGCACTTCTGATGCGTTGCTCCCACGTTCCTGGGTGCAGCAGCAGGGCTGAGCTCAGGGGGTGCCACTGAACAAAGCCCCCCCGCTCCTCCAACATGTGCAAGGTGGATGGAAGTGAAGGCGCTGATCTGGCGTAGGGCTCTGTGCTGCGGGCAGGCTGCAGTGAGAAGAGCAGCACTTTGCTCCCTGCCTTGCTCTCCATCACACAGGATCCTCAGATCATGGGAAAGCCGGGCTGGATGGGACCTCACAAGGTCATCTAGTCCAGCACACCACAGCACAACCAAGTGTGCAGGATCCCATTGGGAACATCCTGGATGTAAGGGTAAGTGCAACTTATTTCTGTCACTCTCCTTTTTCTCTCCTCTTTACCAAGTACAGACATTATTTCTGTCACTCTCCTTTTTCTCTCCTCTGGACCAAGTACAGACCCCTGCTGCTCTCCCTTGCCAACTGCAGCCCCCTTCCACTGCCACGGAGGTCAGCCACCAAACGCTCACGCCCTGCTGATTTCAGACTTCTCCAACTCATGCCCACTGAGTTTGGGGCTTTTCACTCACTCCTTCCTGAATCGGGGTATCTCCAGCTCCCCCCTGCTCCGTGCAGCTGCCTCTTGTTATCTCTGCTGCACCAGCAATTTCTATCATTTTCCTCCTCAGCTGCTCATCTCCTGTTTCTTCCTCTGAAGCAGCGTTTGTGCTCCTGTCTCTTTTATCAGCTCACCCAGTGCAGTGATGTGGGCTACTGCCAAGCTCCTTTGTGGTGCCTTTGCTTAGCTGTAGCTTAGCCTGGCATCCCCCAAACTCCTGCCGGTGTAAGCACTTCTAATGGCTATAAGGAGAGGAACTGAAACACAGTTTGGATCTGTGTTTTACCCTGCATTGTTCCTGATGGTGGCTTGTCTGATCACCCAGCTGAGAGCATGAACGAAGGCTACCCTACATTCATAGTCACTGGATACCAGTGCCTCTCATTCAAACCATGTTGCAATAGGACCTAACAGGGTGCTGGAGCAAGGGGCCGGGAGGGACTCCAGGGCTAAGAACCAGCATCTGGGCCCAGTCCCCACCCAAGTACCCAGAGCTCATCTCCCGAGCGAGGCTGGGTGTGCGGGGAAGAGGAACCTGTGCCTTCCTCCTGCTCTGCTGTCAGCACCGTGGCGGGTTAGCGCTGCCGAGGATGTCTATTGGAAAGAGCTCACAGCAGCACATGTCCCTCCCCTTCTGTTTCAGATGAGGAGGTGGTTGTGAACTGTGGTGCCGAGATGGCTGCCCTGTGACTGCTGCATCCTGGCCACCTGGTTTTCGGTTTATAAAAAAAGTGGGCCGGCTACAGCCCAACCCCACATCATCTCCTCTCTGCTGTTCCTGTGAAGTGATGGGCGCCCACTTAAAGGAAAACGTGGGCCACCAGCATAGCAGCACAGGAGCCCCTGAGGCTCAGGCCCAGCTCAGGGGATGTGCAGCCCCTGGGAAACCTGCCCAGGGACCAGGGCATCTTGGACGTCACTGCCACTGCATGGGGGACCTGGGCCAGCCTGATGCTTGCATCCTGCCCTGGGCCCAGGCTGTGATGCTGAGCTCAGCACCTCCGGGCAGGGGAGAGGGGAGGGATCTTTTCTGCTCTGGCCACAGGGAGGGAACGGGGCCCCTCGGTGCCAGCTGCTCGGGTATCCGGGCTGGAGCAGGCTCGGTTGTCCTGGTGCTGCTGCTCCACAAACCTGCTGCCTGGTTTATTGACCCAGGGGCAGGTTCACAGTGCTCATGGCCCCGGCCCCAGCCCAGCTCTGGGATCAGTGAGCAGGGAGCCCCATGCCACCAGTGCAGGGTCCCAAGTGTAGGCTCCTATAACCCTGCCCCACCTCGTGTGCAGCCACACCACACTGCTTCCCCATGTCAGGCCCTGCCTAGACTGAGCGCTGGGCATCTTCCCAAAGCACCTGAGGCTGTTTGGTCCTGAGGGGAAACCTCTCCCCTCCAAGGGTCTGAGCTTTGCATTTCCAGCTGGGCACAGGCAAGCAGAGGAGCAGAGGTCATTGCTGCTGCGGGACTAGGGACACTTGCAATGTTCCCCCCACTAGCAGACACCACTCCTGGGGATCCCCAGCAGGATTGGGCCCTTGAAGTCCCGGGACCTTCTGCGTGGGGTGGCTGGAGATTGCGGGCAGCACTGCGGCCCTCACACCGTCGTGCCATTGGCAACCAGACATCTGCCTCGAACAGGTGCCCAAACCACCATGACAAACTATCCTGGCCACGAACTTGGGCGTTTGTGTGTGACGACGGGCAGAGATGGCTCTCTCCTTGGGTTTGTGGAGCAGAATGCAGGCAGCATGATCTCGCATGGATGCATGTGTGTCAGCCCCTGTGGACTGGGAAGGCTGTGTCATGGGGCTGATTCTTGGATAATCCACTTGAACAGTCCCCGTGGCTGGTTGGGGTGGGGAGAGCAGTGCTGCTCTTTGCAATCACACAGAGGCAGCAGATGCAGAGAGCTGAGCCTGACCACAGACAGAGACTGTGGTGCAAAGACCCAGGCGAGCAGCCCTGAGGTTTTCCATCTCAGTGCGGATGTGTGTGGTCACTTTATATTTAGTGTCACACATTTGGTGGTCATTTCCTCTGCAGCCTCCTCCACTTAGATAGAAATTTGCTTTAGAAAGAGGCAAAGATCTCAGTTCTTGTCTTTAAGTACATGCTGAGGACTGCATGTACGGACCCAGCTGGGGAAGATGCTGAAACTAAAACCTCTCTCCACAAAGCCATGCAGGGCTATTAATCACACAGGTCTTGTGACGGGGACACTCACCACACTCACCTCCATCACTGCCTTAAAATACCCCAAGCAACCCCCAAACCAAAAGCTGACCTTGAATCCACCATCGCACTGACAAGACCATGAAAAAATCAGGTGAACGAAAAGGAAAGCAAAACAGAAAGCCAATGAAAATCTTCCAGGTGATTCCCAAGCCTCTGTCTCATGGGCAGAAGTGACTGGTGTATTTATGTGTGCGGGCTGGCTCCCGATCCCGTCCTTGCCAGGTGCGAGCCGGGCCCGTCTTTGTGCACGCAGGCTGTGGCCAGCAGCCCGGGCACGCGGGGCCAGAGAAAACCGCGGAGCGGTAAGGCACGCGCGAGCTAGAATCAGTTACAGAGGCGTAATGGTTGATTGAAAAGGTTATTTACTTACACCCAAGGTGGTCGCGGTGTAGGCTGGACAGCTTTCCAGGCGCAGCTCCGCTTGAGTCCTCGTTGGAGGACTCTGACAAACTCGGTTCTTTGACCCCGGAGTGGTTTAGGCTCCGCGGGTTCGGCAATTCTTTCCTCACGGAGTTGCTGAATCTCTGTGGGTTCTGTTCGGTTCCCAGGTCCCCCGGAGCTGTTAAGACTCCGTGGGTTCGAAAATTAGGTATATAGGATAGGGATACGTCTAGGATTGCGCTCGGCGACGGGGAGAGGCTAGAGGCCGTTCGGCAATTGGGTCCCCGGAGTTGTTAAGGCTCCGCGGGTTCGGTTCAGTAATTAAGCCTCTATTGCCTTCTTAAGAGAGACGCGTTGGGTTCGAAGGGATCAGCAGCGCTTAGAGATCTTCACACAGCGCGAAGTCTCCTCCTCCTGGCGAGTTCTGTATCTCTCCAGGTTTCCTCTCTCTCCGTGTCTCCCTCTCCGACTTGGGCGGAAACCACCCAAGCCTTTTATACGGCTAGCAAGCCAATAGCTAGCCGCCACGTGGGCATAATTTAGAACCGGCCAATAATGGGGTGCAAATCTAAATACAAATGGCGGGAACTCCTTTGCACCGTGCATCACTATGATGCAAAAGAAATGCACCATGCAAAGAAAACTTCAAACTGGCAGGAAACACTCTTCTGCACGCGGGTTCTCCTATTGCAGAAAACTCCACCGTACAAAGGAGCTGCAATTTAGCGGGAACATAATTTAGTGGTGCTGAAGCACACACAAACAAAAAATCACAACTTTGGGTTGTGACATTATGAAGCACGTCCCAGTCATTTGGTAAAGGGATCTGGGCTCCTAAGTCACCTGGGGGCACTGGGAAATGTTTCCCCAGATCACTGCTGGAAATAAGGGTTTTATCCTGAGCAGGGTGAAGTGCCAGAGACCGTGTGAAGGCCACTCTGCTTGACACTGCTCCGTGGACGTTGCTGAGCTGATGCAGGGGGTTTCGTTTCAAGGCCATGTGTGCACGGCCCCACAGGGACGGTTCCCGCTGGAAGGGAAGGAGCTGTTCCTCCTCTGTCCTGGGAGGTGCCCATGGACATGAGTGTGTGTCTCCAGCAGGAGCTCAGATGGGAGGAAACCACCACAGCCCTTTGTGTCCCAGGCACAGCCCGAGGGATGTTTCACGGCAAGTCCTTGCATGTCAAAATGCTGAACACACCTGCAACCTGTGCAATTCAAATTGCTGATGTCCAGTCTGGTCGATCCAATTCACCTGCTCCGTGGAAGGTTGGCCAGATCACCCTCCCCTTGCGCAGGCAATGGACTGGCAGTAAAGCAAGGACCAACTTAGACTAAATGGCAAAAACGGACATCTGGCTCTGGGGAACAAGCTCATTATTGCTTATGTTAAGGATAGAAATAGAGCATCAGCAAATGGCATGAGATGGACAAATCGGGGGGAAGAAAGAACAAGGACAGCCCAAGTCGGCAGCCTGGTCCCACGCAGCCCTGCTCACATGCCCAGAAACATGGTGTACGGGCACTTACAGGGACCGGTCTCCTCAGTGGGGGCTTCAGAGAGGTGTGTGCAGGTTATATCCTCACCAGGTGTACCCATAGGGCTGTATAAGATTCACTGATATCAAATGGAGAGGCCCTGGCCTTGCTTACATTGTGCTGAAAGCATCTCAGCAAGGTGAGATAACACCAGGATGGGATTCAGTGGGTGGCTGGTTTGCTACAGGGGGAGCTGAAATACTTCTTACAATAAAGCCCATCTGGTCAGATATCCTTAACTGGGGGGCAGTAAGGATTGAATCTCTCAGCGTGTCGGAGGTCAGCGTCCCACCCCCCAGCACCCTCCTCTTGTAGACATGCCCCCTCCAAGTTGAGACAGGAAACAGGTCTTCTTCCCACGTGACCCAGGCTTTCAGAAAGAAGAGACCCATCGAGCAGCCTCACAGCATCCTCCCAGCGCTGAAGAGACCACACCATGTGCTGCCCCTGGGCTGGGATCCTGCTCCTCGCCCTGCAGGGTAAGTCTTTCAGCTCCTCGGTCTTTTCTCCCCACATAAGAACAATTCCCGTGTGCACAGGGATGTCCTGGCAGGATGGAAACACCCAGCTGGGCTGCTAGGGACAGGGAGACAGGAGAGTTTTCTGTTTCAGTCCCTGAGACATGTAATGCAATGATGTGTGGGTTAAAAGCCCTGTTCAGAACCAGTGGAGCAACACAGCAAATGATCCTTGTCCCAAATGGGTGTGACGATGTTGCCCTGGATGCTGGAATGGGGACAATTTTCACGCTACTCTTTTGGGGTTTTAGCTTCTCATTTCCCTCCAGGACACAGGACTTGTATGGAAAGAAAGGACTGAGAGGAACCCAAAAGACTTTTGGGGCTTGTGTGAGGACTGCTTCTGGGGCAGGCAAGGGGCTGTGTGACGTGAATGGGGGAGATTTGTGGTTGTGTTTGCTCATGGCAGATAAGATTGCAACAGATCTCTGCATTGGGGGAAAACGTGAAGCCCTGGGCTCAGGAAGAAAAAAACTATTTGGCTCCTCTCTGACAACTCCCAGCCGGGGAACATTGTGGCACCATGCACAGAGAATAAGGGTCTCAATAAAGTAAAATTCCCCCTTCTTTCCTATCTACTTTATATTGCTGCATTTTAATCAGAACCAGTGGAGCAACACAGCAAATGATCCTTGTCCCAAATGGGTGTGACGATGTTGCCCTGGATGCTGGAATGGGGACAATTTTCACGCTACTCTTTTGGGGTTTTAGCTTCTCATTTCCCTCCAGGACACAGGACTTGTATGGAAAGAAAGGACTGAGAGGAACCCAAAAGACTTTTGGGGCTTGTGTGAGGACTGCTTCTGGGGCAGGCAAGGGGCTGTGTGACGTGAATGGGGGAGATTTGTGGTTGTGTTTGCTCATGGCAGATAAGATTGCAACAGATCTCTGCATTGGGGGAAAACGTGAAGCCCTGGGCTCAGGAAGAAAAAAACTATTTGGCTCCTCTCTGACAACTCCCAGCCGGGGAACATTGTGGCACCATGCACAGAGAATAAGGGTCTCAATAAAGTAAAATTCCCCCTTCTTTCCTATCTACTTTATATTGCTGCATTTTAACTGTTATTAATGTATCTTCCAATATTATGTTGCATCTTACTTCTCTTTACATCAGGGTCATTTTCCTGTGTGCTTTTCCCACTAACCCCAAATCCTGTCAATCCATAAATATCACAGGTCATTTTCTGGTTCATAAACCAGTGTCACTTGAGTGAAAGCTGTGAATAAATGAGGATGTTGGAGCGGGGGAGCTGACTGCACTGGTGCCCCCATGCATACACCGCGCTTTCTTCTGCAGTGGCGGCTTCCCAAGAGGGGCTGTGGCTGCAGCAAAGCCCAGCAGAGATCTGGACGACCCCAGGACAGACTGTGGAGCTGAACTGCACTGTTTCACCTGAAGAAGAACTTGTAACCTGGTACAAAGAGCGTCAGGACAGCAGTCTGCAGTGTGTTGTACAGACTGGTAAATATTTACCTTCAAAAGGAAGATACTCAAGGAAAGAGAGCAGCACAAACGAAACAGTCTCTCTAGTCATCAGCGATGTACGGGAGGAGGATTCTGGAGTGTATTACTGTGCCCTCAATTTATACATAATCGGCAGCTTCAGGAACAGGACCAGGCTGATCGTCTCTGGTGAGTTTCCAACAGGTCACAAATTGTCAGTCCAGAGACAGGAGACAAAAAAATTCCCCTTTTGCACAACTCTGCCCCCCCAGCATCAGCTCCAAGCTGGGAGTGAGCTCAGGGCCAGCGGGGGCCAGGCAGTGCGCCGGGCAGGGGGTGGGAGCAGGAGACCTGGGCTCTGGGTCTCACTCAACAGACCCAGGATTTCAACCATCTCAGAGTGGGAGCTCAAAGACACGGCCAGGATTTCCAAACTGCACAATCCCAGCCACTGAGACCCCCGTGCTGGGTGCTGGGCATCAAAGAGAAATCTCCCCTCAAGCTCCTGTCCCACAGACTTCCCCTCCAGCCCGTGGGGCTCAAAGGCCTGGTGTGAAGGCTCAGGTCATGATTCAGGCTGCACCAGGCAGTGTCCTCCTCTGCCTGCGGTGTCGTAGGGAACGAGCACCCCCGTCCCTGGCTGGTGATTCCCCCCATGCCCCATGCAGACACCCAGAGGGAAGGGAGGGAGGAAGGCAGATACCGTGTGGGCTGGGCCCCAGGGCCAACCCCTGGGACTGGGGAAGGAATCCACCTAGGAGATATCCACTGGGAGCTCCTGTGCTGCGCTGCTCCTTCCCAGCTCTCCCAGCAGTTGTGGAAACTGAGGCACAATGGCCAATAGCTCTCCAGGGGCACACAGCAATGCAGCGGCCGGGGGGGGGCGGGTTCTGTCTCCCCCGCCCACATTCTTCCCAAAAAAACAGGTCTCCCTCTGACCTGTGCCCCAGGCAGCTGCTGCTGGCACTGAGACAAGAAACCCATGGCAAAAATACCTGGGTCCATGTCCCGTCAGGGGTTTGGTGTTGAAACTGGGGTAGACAAAGCCCTGGGCATCTCAGCTCTCCTGCTTGGGGATGGGTGGGCATGAGCTGCCCTGTGGGGAACAGCCCGTATCCCACCATGGCCTCTGGCCTTGATGCTCCCCCTCTCGTGCAGATGCCCCCCAGCCCAGCCTTGTCATCCTGGCACCTTCCCCCCTGGAGGATGCTGAGCTCCCAGACCCCGTCCCCCTGCTCTGCCTGCTCTTCCCACAGACTCGGGCCTGGAGAGCAGCAGTTTGGGACCTCGGGGAGGGATCTCCCAGGCAGATGGACCCAGCAGCCCTGGAGAGGGAAGGCACGGGGAGCCTGACAATGGTCCCCAGGGAGAGGTGGGACACAGGGACCCACTGCACCTGCACCGCCAGAGAGGAAGGAACCGGGAGAAACATCAGCGCTACCGTGGCCAAGGACCTGGGCACCACATTAAAGGGTAGGTGAGGTCTGTCCCTGGGCATCGCCCCTGCCCCTCACCACGGCCTCTGGGAACGGCCCCTCGCTCGCTCCCAGCCACAGGCTCTGTGCCCTGCTCTCAGCGTCTCCTCTCCCCGCAGGGCCCTGCTGGGTTGTGCACTGGGTGGGGCTGCCCTGTGTATGCCTCCTCCTGCTGATCCAAGTCCTCATCCTGCTCTCCACCAAGTGCCCCCACACAGGTAAGGGCCACAGCAAGAACTAGGGTCAAGCCCCCGGCCCCGTCCCTATCCCACTAATGGACCCTGCTTTGCTTTCTCCAGCAGGGAGAGCAGCAGTGCCAGGCAGTGACGTGCGCCCACGCCAGAGCCCAGAGGTAACTGTTTCTCCAGCTGTGTCACAAAGATGTTCAGAACTGGGGTCTGGGCTGATCCTAGCCTGGTACCTCCAGGTCATCTCTCGAGAAACTCAGCAGAGTCGCTGTAGTAATCACTGATTCCCCTCTTCCTCACTGCCGTCAGCGCTGTGCTGGGTTTGCAGTGCAGAACTGCTGTGTCCACCCCAGAGGTGGCTGCATGTCCATGGGAGGATACAGTGCCATGCATGGGTTATTGCAAAAGGAAAACCAGGCCAGGCCATTTCCTAGTCTGAAAAAACTCCCAGGAAGCAGGTAAATGGATGGGGCGGTGTGATCTAATGGGACACATCAACCTTGGCAGTCAGGGTAGGACACCTGAGTCTTCTCTCTGGCTCTGGGTCTGAGCAGCTGAGGGATCACAGCTAAGGCCTGGCCCCTCTGTTGGCCTCGGTTTCCCCTCCCACTCCCTGTGTCTGGACATCCCTAAGGTATCAGTGCAATCCCTTATCCGGTGCTCATTCAGCAACAAGCACTGTGGGGCGATGATCTCAGCCGGGGTCTCCGGGCTGTGCTACCCACAACTGATGAGAGATCTCTCCTCTTGTGTTGCAGACAGAATATGCAGCTGTGAGACATGGCAGCAGAAATGCTTCTCCGTGACTTTTGTGTTCAAAAGTTCAGCCTTAAAATAAAAAGTGTGGGGACACGTGTGTGCATCAGGGAGACATGTGATGCCAAGCAGCTGCCCATTGCGTGAGCGTGTGTGGGGAGGAGGGTGGGAGGGCAGGCAGGCAATTGTACATAGGAGCTCACACATCTTGGACCCGGCGTTTTGTGGCCAGAACCAAAAATTATCACGAGGGAAACAGTACAAGGGATGGGACATGGTTTTTATTAGACAACAGGGACAGGCACCATTGGGCCAGGAAGTCAGCTTCACACTACCTGCCGGTGAGGCTGAGCAGGGAGCATGTGTACCCCATGCAGGTTCCCACCTTCCTGCCCCACAACCCTGGGTCCGCCCGGGCCTGAGCCCTGCACACACCAGGGGCTGCAACATCTCCCTGCAGACTGCAGTCACCCTGGCCGCACTGCCTGTGTTTTGTG